AATGTACAGTACTTCTACATGTACATGTACACCGTATGTACAGTACTTCTACATGTACATGTGTGAGACAAACTGGTAACTTTTGCCCTTACTGGTGTAGGAGAAATTGTATAGTATAGTATATACATGTACATGTATATATAGAAAATGCATTCACATTTATGTACATTTACTTCCCCATAGAGATACAAATAATGGTAATAATACATGTTCACAAAAACTGGAATGACTAATTATTAGTATGAGGAACTTCTCTTTTTTTAAAATCAGATGAACTGTACTTAGTTTCCTTTTCAGCATCCAGGCATGTACATTTATGTTCTGTATGTTAGGACCTTGACCTTTGCTGGGGTCATATGTTGAGTCTATGTAACTCTATGTAGCATACATGTACAAAAAGTGTCTATTATTAGTTTCTGGATGATAGCTTCATTACGTACCTATGTGCACATATCCTGGCATGCTTTGCACATAACTGCTACAGGTGCATGCATACAGTACATGTACATACAATTAGGCACATGTACATTAAAAATCAGTGTTTCTGCAGTAAATGAAGTGTCTTAAAGGTTTCGGTGAAAAATGTTTGGTAGTCAGTATCATAATATACCGTACATGTAGGTCAAACTTTGTGGCAGCATCAAAGTTGAGCCTGGGAAACCAATTCAAGTAGATTGACATCAATTGTTTAATTGGCATAGAGCCTTTGGATGATAACGCAACTATTTCATATCATCTCACACCATTGAAAAGAAATTCTGAGAATTTACTCGACATGTAACTTAATACACAGTGTCTACAAACACTGTAGGTTCTTCCAAATGTTGACGCCAACAGTGAAAAATGTACAGTACATACATGTACTGTATGTCAAATGTCTCTGTGGAACTTTGTATGAATCTTTATTCTTGTTTTCTTTTGGTTTCATTTACTTTGTTCTTTTTGTTTGGAAGTCTGTGGGTGGATTGGTTGGACTTAGAATTTCCTAGTGAGTCCTGTGAGATTTTTTTTCTTGTTTCTTTCCAGGGAGCAACCAATTTTCAACACCAGGGCTCACGTCTTCCAGATTGACCCGGTCACCAAGAAGAACTGGCTGCCGTCCAGCAAGCAGGCTGTCAACGTCTCGTTCTTCTACGATAGCACCAGAAGTTCGTACCGGATCATCAGCGTAGATGGATCAAAGGTGGGTGCTTGGCTTGTGATCTCCCACGAGACCAAGCACTCTAGTAAAGGAAAACTTGGCCTATGTAGGCCTTCTGGTTCCATACTGCGCAAACACCTCCTCAGTGGTTATCATGCGCAGGTCGGAGTGAGGGACATTGTGGCGAAAAAGTGGTTTCCTTATCACCACACATCACTGAGATCACAGTTCAGATTTTGAAAAGAGACTTTTCTGAAACTCCTTCCATAATTTACAGCTTCGTGAATTCAAGTGAGATGTTTGGAGCATTAGAGACTAGCTACCAGTAGGCCTGGGAGATTAGACTTGTACATTTTCTGCTGTTGATTGTTAGTAACCTGCAGATTTTAGTGACCCTGAAGTACCTTTTTCAAACTTGCCCAATTTGGTGCTGCCTTAGTTCATCTTGTACACTGCATTGCAATCTATTAAAACTTTAACACATATGTAGTATGTAATTTTTGTATCTAAACCAGTAACCCATGGACATCTGGGCTACACGTATATCTTCCTCGAAGTCGCAATGTAACAAAATTGAATGCATTGTATGTGCGAATTTGAAACAGTGTTTCCGGATGTTGACAGAAAACTTCAAGACGGCACAATGTAGTTATATAGAAAATGTTGCACATACATGTAAAACACCAATATGATGATCCTTTCTTTCCTGTCTTCTTGTTAGGCAATCATTAATAGCACCATGGTGCCCCAAATGACCTTCACCAAGACGTCACAGAAGTTTGGCCAGTGGGCTGACAACCGAGCCAACACGGTCTATGGATTAGGCTTCTCCTCAGAGGCGGAGCTCAATAAGGTTCCTCATCCTCAGATCACTGACCTTTTTATTGTTTGATTTTTAAAATTGCGGTTCCCCTTTAGGCTTTGCCCGAAAAGCACAGGCTTTGTGTACGGCCATAGAAGATCACTTTAAGTACATGTACACTGTACATGAAGCATGTTAAAAAAGTGAAATGAAATGGGATGATTCCAAGTCTGGTTTCCAAATTGAAAACAAGTCAAAAACTTCCCAGGGCTTGAGGAAGCCAGTTTGGGCCCGTTGTGGTTGGTGCCTCATAAGAAATGTGCAGTGACGTTCAGAACTGTCTATAGCATACATGGCATAAAAGGGAATTGCTGTGATTTCAAGTCAGGATTGAGCCAAAGTAGTCCTTTGCTCCTGCAGCAGAAGCTGCCACCTATTTTTATTCAGACATTCGGCTTCAAAAATTGAACTGAGTAGATCAGTCAAAGAGACTGTGACAAAAAAGGACGCACTCATCAAGTCCCACCATTAGTCATAAACTGCAGGCGTGGTTTTATGACACGACCCATGCATTTTCCACATGTGTTAGTATGCTTCACCAGTTGTTCACAAGTAGCATGCATGTATGTACATGTACATGTACATAAGGCAGTGTACATTTGCATACAGGTACTTTGCAGGAAACCAGCTTTGTTTTCACATTGTGTGAAAAATAGATTCTTACATCTGACATTTAAGAAATGAGCGCGTGTTTCGTAGGATCAAAGATACGTGTATTTACATTTTACTTGGATAATTTTGTTCCAAAAATGTACTTGTATGATGAATGCCAGTGTCATTTCCTGGTTGTCAAAAGGCAGCTCCTGAAAATATTCACATGGTTTTTGTAACTATTAGTTTTAGCTGAAATGGTTACTGTGGGTTGCTGGATGAAAAACTTTTATTTTCCCCGGTTTCAGTTTATCGAGCAGTTTGACAGCATCAAAGAAAAGATGAAGGCCACCACCCAGGACAAGAAAGGCGGCGGGGACTCAGGTATCACCGCTAACGGCACGGCACGGGCGAGCGTCGTCACCACAGGTGACCAGCCTTTAATCAAGCACACAAAGGTACAAGTACAGTGTCTGCATGCACAGTAAATCAAATTTCAGGTGATGCGATCTCATTTGTGACCCACAATCCCCAAACCAGGCTGAAGTAATTCTGTTTCCCTGAAAAAGTGGCTCTTTCACGGTTCATGTGTTCAAGGAAGTTCCACAGCTATCACTAACCAGTGTTGGAGGCCTCGAGGCCGGTCTTGGCCTTGAGGCCAATTTTTATGGCCTTGGGGTTATGGGCTCAATCTTGGCCTCGGAGGGCATGGCCTTGGTCTTGGCCTTGGTCTTGGCCTCAGCCTCGGAGGTTGTGGCCTCGACTACAACACTGGAGTGACATAGGAACCTTTCTGCAGACAGAATTTAGTCTTAACATGGATCATGGATCAGGTTTGAAAAAAAGGTGAAGGAGAGGAATTGTCAAAAATCACAACAACGAACTTCAGCCTGGTTTGGGGATGGTGGGTCACATTTGTGGAAACTTTTCTGATCTATCCAAATTCCTGCACAATTAGTCTTTCTGCTTAAAACTTGGGTATTAGCCCTAGCAATCCTCAGTGGTTCAAGTTCCATATCATTATTTGACTTTCGTAAGAGTTTAGCCCTGTGAAAATAGAAAGTTGTACTGTCTGATTTCATCAAAATGCTGCAAAATCATACCTTGGAGTTTGACTAGTTTAGATAGAATAATTTCAAATTCCATCCTGGATTTGATAGATATGAGATACTGGTACAATAATGGTTCATATAATTTCCTGCCTTGAGAATGAATTGTGGTTGTGACATAGTGATCATGGTGATTACCATGTTTCTGTTGTGGATTCCTAGGATTTCATCAGTTTTTGGTAGGTTTTGCAATTAAAAAACGCTGTTAATTCCACTCACCTGTATTGTAAAACCCCTGCTGGTTTAAACTTTTATTCTTCCTTGTGGGAAATCATTTTCTATAAACAGTTGTACTTGTCAAAGATTGCTCATAAAGTAACTCGTTTCAAAACCAAAAGTTTTTCCGGGACAGAAATCATGCCACAAAACATTTAAGGGCTAGTGTATGGTTTTTCACCTGTTTCATTTTATGGTGGCTGCTGTTACTTTCCATTTGTCATGGTTCATGTTGTTGGTTTTCAAATTGCAGGAGCGCTCAGCAGACAACACCCCCATCTCTGCAGCACCTGCCAATACGTCCAATGACGCACAGGTCAGATATGAGAACGACAGGCTCAAGATTGCCCTGGCTCAAAGGTAAAATGTTACCCACTCCGTCTGGAGATCCGGATTATAAAAATCCCCATTCGGGTGCCGTGTACAATTGTGACACTAACACACTTTGACATATGAGAACTGCATAGGAATAATGGTAAAGATCAGAACCCTTACTGCTGCCCAAGACCAAAGATGAATTAGCTCCAAACATTGTTTTCGGCAGTTTGATTGCTGTGATTGGCTTCCAAGTTTTTCCTTGTTCAAATCCTTTTAGCAATTATGTAGATTGAGTTGTCAGTCCCCACTTGATAGTGTAGATCTTTCCCCTCAAAGTACTATCCGATTTTCTTCTGTACTCAACGTTGATTTGTCTTGGTTTTTAATCGTACTGTTTCTTTCCATGTGAAGAGAGTAGTGTTTCCTCCGAGTTTGAACAGGGCTTAACCACTTATCAAGCTGGTCAGGAATACTAAGAATTAGGATAGATGAGAGTGGGTAGTTATGCAGATTCATTTTTGTCAAGGAAGGAGAATACCTTTGTAAATAATTAAAGCGAAACATGTGTCGGAATAATCAGTGCAGAGTGTTAACCATTAAAAGTCCAATCGTCGGATTGTTTACCTCACCAATTCTCTGAAAACAAGTTTCAATTTCATGAGGAAACATGGCTTCTGCATTGCTCAGTTCCAACAATGCCAAGAAGTGGGAACTGGAACTGCAGACCCTGAAGAACAACAATGCCCGTCTTACAACGGCACTGCAGGAGAGCACGGCCAACGTCGAGGAATGGAAGAAACAGCTGTCGGCTTACAAAGAGGAAAATGCCAGACTGAAACAGAAGGTAAGGAGCAGGCAGGGGAGGGGCTGGATGCTTGATTGGAGGGGGGAGGTAAAAAGTTGGTTCAGTGGCCATTGAAGTAAAGTTTGGAAGCAGTTTAAATTTTCAATTTTCTGACAGTGAAACTAAGTGTCAGTCGTAAGCTTCATAATGCTGAGGAAATCTCAAGAGAGAAGGCAAAAGATAAACAATTACAAAAAATTTATTAAAAATTGGATAACTGACAGTAAAATTACTTTTTGTTGGAAAAATTTTTACTCAGAATTTGAAGGACTTGGTTATATTTCAGTTCAACCCCTTTGGTGCTTTCGTCTGCCTCCATGTATCTCAATGGGGTAATAATAGGGTGAAGTTTCTGAGGGGGCACCCGGGGGAACACATTTGGGCATTTCAAACTTTCAAATGGAGTGTCCCGGGGGAGGGGGGCATGTGTCCCCCATGCCGGCCCTCATATTTACGCCACTGGTTTACCCCACCTTTTCGGCTGTGGTAAATACAGCGAACTGCTCAGTGTTTCAAATGTACTCTGACCCTCCAGCTGCAAGAAGCGCCCCAGGCTGGGCAAGGCGCCCCGGGGGTCACCAAGGACAGCCAAGACACCAGAGTAAAGGAACTGGAGGACAAAGTCCAATCGCTCACCCGAGGCCTTGACATGAAGACAATGGTGAGTTTATTGAGAGCTATTACATTGAGCTGCTAATAAACAGAACATATATGTGCTAAGCAAAATTTGGCAGAGAAATAGTCACCAGACGTACGCAGCATGTGGCAAATTTTTAACCTGTTTTTTCCCTATGGATTTTCTTCTGGTAAGCTTTTTTAAGCTTGTATTTTGGGAGTATCAAAGTTCTTTGCTTAGCCGCTCTGTGATGGATGAACTGTTGTAAATATATCAATGTTGTTGTCAACTCACCACGAGTTCTTTCACAAGTCCTTTGACAAGACTAATCATAAGTACCAGGGTGAACCATGACAAAGGAATGTTTTTGTCACAGTTCATGTGAATAGTGTGTAACTTGGCTCAGAATTTGATGGCTGGCAATGGACTTGCAGAGAAGTTTGTGATGGATTTGATCAAAGCATTGAAATAGACTGCCATAGACGCAAGTAACAACGGTCCAAAATTCAATCCGCCGTGAGCAGAAGTACCCCCATTTGAAAGGAGCCATGTTGGTTGGGCATGTTCATTTTGCTGGTCATGACGCGACCGTAACGTGTGTATTTCATAGTTGCTAGCGTTGCTAGGGAAATTGCGCCCTCTCTTGGTCCAACCTGGGGCTCATATCCAACATGGTCAGTGTTTATATTAAATTCATGCTAGTCTTTTCTGAGGGGTGATGTAATTGTAGACTGCAGCATTATCTCAGACAATTGGAATCTCAACTGAGCAGACGGGTGGTCTTGAAGCTCTTACCCGTATGTCAAAAGGAATAAATTGGGCAGTAAACACCTCGTCTGATGAAGAGGCACTGGCAGCTCACAAACTGGAAAACTGATTTGTTACAGGAGTCTGAAGAATTGACAAAGAGGTTGCAAGAGGTGTTGGAGATGGAGGAAGAAGGCAGGAAACTGAGGCAAGAACTTCAGGTGAGGAGAGAATTACTTCAAAGTACATTAAAGAGGTGCTGGAATCCATTTTGAATATCTCCTAGATGCATCATAGAATTCTGTGAAGGCTGAACCCCAAATCTCCCCCCCACTGCCACTTTAATCTTTTCCTTTAAACTGTTGCTTTGTGAACAATTTTGAATTGTGTTGTTGAAACTACTCCACCCACATCCCTACAGATATCTTTGGGGTGTTATGTAGGGCCAAAACTCTTCCCATTGTTAATGAATGGTTCTGTACATGTACGTACCTGTTGTATGGGTGTACCTAAAATGTGACCAAAATAATGGTCTGTGATTTTGGCTTATGAAGGTGGTTATTTTGAAAACGAACGATACAGTAAGACAGAAAAAGGCAACTTCTGATCTTGAGTTGAATTGAACTTGTTGATGTTTGCAGTTTACTCTTCTTCCAATAAGGATTTAGTGAATTGCTGTGCTTAATGTGCTTGATGGGGTTTTTGTGGGTCATCTCGTAGGATTCTAAGGAGGCTCAGTCCACTCTTGAGAAGCGTGTGGAGGAGCTGCAGGACCGGCTGTCTCGGGAGCAGAGCGGACGACAGCACGACACGCACCGCGCCCAGCAACTCCACTCGCAGCTGGGGAACCTCATACAAGACCTGAGCGGCTTGCACCAAGACATGGCCGAAATATTGTAGGACGTGTCAGTCTCAACAACCTCAGCAATCGTTCATTAAAACTAAGTAATCAGGGTACACAGATATTTGGCTGGGCTGGTTTTACCTGCCCGGGCCTACGTGTATTTTTTAAAGTGCATTGTTGTGTAAGAAAATACAACTATCATTGATACATTGGTGCTTACTGTAGACTACTGCAATGTCTAGAATTAGACCACTTGTGGTGGTACACGTTTCAACCAAAAGGGTGTTACAAGTTGCTAAAATTCACCTGCTTTTAAGTGTGAGAATGTTAGTGTAGTGTCACAATCCACTCTGAAAGAAACGAAAGAGGGCGTGTCTTTTGATACTCACCGCATAGGTGTGCGTTTATAACGGAGATCGATGGCGCCTTTGACGCGGAGCACACCGAGTACGCTTTGAGTACGTGCAAAACACGTTCAAGAACCTGCTTGGAAAACTTACTACCATCTGTCTTTCTTTTGCCGCTTGGGGGCGCACTTCAACTCGGGGCGGATAGTAGCTGTACCACTGATCTCTATACACTGGATAGGCAGTTCTGCTCTGGGAATTGAAGCGACTTCGCGGCCATCTTAGGCTATTCAATGCAGTGGCATTTTCCAAGTCACCGGCTTTAGGGCCGTGCATGAATGCACCTAGTGAACAAACTGAAGTTGGAGTCCATTGTACTGAATATCCTAAGATGGCCACGTGGTCACGTCAATGTACACATGGGCATTTACTGCTGAGCTGCCTATCCAGTGTATAGAGATCAGTGGGCGGCATCTACTCATCAGATTAATATTTCAGAAAGTCCCTCGATTTTGGAACAAGGTTTCTATCTATGGTCATGAAAAGTCCTGGGAAAAGGGTTGTACACTGCTCGAGAAATTCATGGAAGAGATATGGAAATGAGGAAAGAGCATGATGTCATGAAATATTGTTGTCAGAGGGAAAAAAATGTGGTGGAAAAGAAGATCATGCAAGAGTTATTTTTGATGGGCCGTGGGCCACTTTTGATATGAATTTACACACTATATCCTTGTTGGTCCATAGCAGTGGCAATGGCAGTCTTCCAGGTCATAGCACCAAATCATTTTTCTCTGGAAAATGGCAAACAATTTCATAGAATTTGTCACAAGTCAGTCCTGGGAACTCCTTGGAAAGTCATGGAATTTGGTTTTCAGATTTCTGCTGGAACCCTGTGGAAGTACCGTAGCAATTTTAATTTAATTTAACCTCCAAGTACTCCGCAAAATTTAACTAGTCAAATGAGGGCAGTAGGTCTACGTGCGCAAATTCAGCAATTGTGAATTTCATCCCAGGCTTTAAAGCGGGATCTTACGACATAAATTGAAGTTGCTTGTATAATAGCACAAGCTAGCGAAAAAAAACCCAACAAATTTGCCAAAAGCTGCTGGACCTACTTTTTGCATTGCTGGCCCTTTAATCAATCTTGAAACATGGAAAATAATAAGTCTTGTTGGTTGCGCACGCTCATAATGCCCACATTCATCAGAATACTAAATTGATTGATGTATATCAAAAGAAAAGCTCATTTTATTTTTAATCCTATTACAGCTAGTGACAAACTATCTGTTACCTGGTCTTGCTGAAATAGTTATCTAAGTGTTGGACATCTTTGTTGCACTTCGTAGATCTGCGCACCGAGGTACTCTGTACATGCATAGATATTTTCTTGTAGGTAATTGAATTCAGCATGCTATACCTGTACACTTAACATTGCTTGATTCTGTTTCATTATAAAACGTGAAGGGATTGGGCATTCCGGCCACGTATGAATTTCTCGGCTGCGGCTTTAATTGACACGATGTCATGGTAATGGCTACAACCACTTCCCATAGGGCCGTGCGCAATTGCAAGCCACTACCAAATAATTCGGACACAGCCTAAGACTCATCTTGTTCAGCCATGTCCGCTTTACTTGGCTACAGCTAATGAGTAACACATCCATCGACGTGTATGGAACTAGCCAGTGGCTAGCGGTGGCATCCACTACCCACAGATGTGTGAGCTGCTACCAGCTGCAATCAGTTGATTCAAATGCAGACTAAATTTCAAAATCAGTCGCAGTTCAAGTTTCCCTGGATAACCAAGCTAGATAAAAGGGATACAGAATGGCAAAGCACAAGCGTTGTAGTCCTTTGCCAAGTATTTCACAGAATCGGAAATACTGTTCAGGTTGCAGCACATGTGTAAGTCGGCATCTGGCCGCACTGATAGGGCAGACGTCGTGTGCATGGATGGCTGTTTCTGAATGACCTCACACGCGCTTCGTTTCAGGCGTGCTCTCTTTATAGAATACTGAACGAGTTCATAAGGCCAAACTATTGAAGCACTAGGTTGCCAAATAATTAACACAAGTCTTTTGCCACAGAGCTGATATGGTTGTTTTTTTCTTCAGATAATCGAACAATTCTGAAATAGCTTTTTGTTAAAAGTCAGACTGAATCCCCAGTATCATGATCGAAAGCACAACCACTTGGAACATATTGCCTATTATTTTCAAGCTCTATTAATCCCCACAACCTCATATTTTGACATATTTTTCACGTTAGAAAATAGTACTCTCATTTAACGACTAATGACATGGGTGCTTATACATGTACATGCATTGTCACTTTGGATGGTCAATTATTAAGGATATCAAGGCATCCAAGGAAATCGACACGACATTGACAAAAGGTGTAATATCTACCAAGGGGGAATAACTTACAGAAAATCTGGAAGAATACCTGAGACTTTCCAGGATTCCAGGACATCTTGCAAACAGCCCTGCAAAGGGCTGGTTTTGTTTTGCTTTCATTTTGCCTCAAGCTGTAGTCCCATTAATTATCAAAACCTTTATCATGTTGCAACTTCAAAGAATCCTGCTATCAGTTCTCTTTACAAATTTCCTTAACTTCCCATTGTACCTAGAACTTGTTTACGAAGGAGGATTTTACAGGGTTTTTACTTGATATACATTGACACGTTATCCAGAAGTGACAGTGGGATGTACAGAAAGTTGCTGGGAACAAATAACGCCGGGCATTGTGTATTTCAGTTAAAATTTTCATGTAAGCATTTCAAGGTCCTTTCCATAGAGAATATATTTTGCTATGGGAATTTTTGGGAAAGAAGACGTTGTGATTAAACAAAGGGTGCTCATGAACCATTCAGAAAACAGTAAAGATTCCAGGTGAAAAATCATCCCAAAACCAATCATGTTATTCCGCCTTCTGCATCTTACAGCCTCTTGTGAATTTTGTTTTGGGCTTGCGTGCATAATGTATGTGATAATGTGCACATTTTGTATGTAGGTGTTGATGTGCCCTTACTGTATGCAGAAATGTGCCTTGTGTTAACATTTCGTTGTAAATACTTCATGTGTAAATATAAGCGGAAACCCTGCGCTTATTTTCACCCACTCTGTTTGAATTGCCCAATGCTGCATGACGTATACATGTATGTATGAAACCTTAGATTGTTTCCGTGAAGGGGGAGCTTAGATTCTATTTTTGTAAAGCAGCTTTCACCTTGCAGTCTTTTGCCATTTGAAACAAACACACAATGGTTTACAGTTTGTGACTGTAATAAAAGCAGGTCAGATTTCATGTATTTGTATATGTAATTTCATCAGCTCGTCAGTTTCACCACGAAGTGACGTGTAGGGTAGTGTTGGTACCCCTAAAGTGACGTACCACCCGTGGACTTTGTACACACAATGCGTCAGTTGTGACTTGCATCTTGCCAGAGGCGGGATAAAATCAAAGGCTATTTTTCTATATGAATATGTGGTAGGAATATACAGAGTAGCCTGAAATCCCAACTGCAAAGTTTTCTCAACTTGTGGGTTATTCTCCCTAACAAATGAGCGATCATCTCTCCCAGGCCTGCATGTTACCATGGTTACAGGATGTGCTGGCTTGTTGCTTACAAACCTGATTTTTTTTCCCTTTTTTTTCTAGCTACCAAAGTAAAAGATCCCAGCTGGTATTACATGTATATTGGAGCCTCCGGCACAAAAATAACCGTATGCCTGATACCTACACCAGTTGCAACTTTACAGAGTTATACATGAATAGCCTTCTGGAATTTGTGCAATTTTGTATATGTATCGTATGTCTTTCTATTAAATCCCTACTAACTTTTTGCTAGCCTTGTGTGGCACTAATACCGAAGAAATTACAATGTGGGTTGCTTCCATTACTGAAAGAAAAATGATTGCTTTCATGAATATTTATTCGAATGCTAAATGCTTGGCTAATTATACATATAACAATATGGTTATAGTTTAGTTATCTTTATTGATGGCAAAACTGCATGAAGTCAGGAAAACTTAACGGATGTATTCTTTTTATCAACAGAATTTTTCCCATGTTACGAGTAGAAATAGAAATTGTAATCAAAATTCAATCAGATACTTGAGTGGTATACTGTCTTCAGGTCGGGGACCAAACCTAAATCTAGCAACAATGCCAGTCTGTGCATACGCTGCTTGATTATGCACTGATGATGTAATTTTTGAGCTATTTTTAGATCACAGTTCGCAGATGACATCGTTCTCTCCATTGGCTGAAAATCTCAATACAAATTGCTCTGATTGATCCAATTTACAAAAAACATGCTACACCAGATCTAAATGAAACTTTGCTCTCATTTGTTATCCCTAAAATCAGATCAAGGAGATTTTCGGTCGAATCTTGCACTGGAAGTGTTGAATTTTTGTGGGTTGGCGAGTTCAATTCTGCCATAGCCAAAGAACACAATTACACACAAAATAAAGCTTTGCCGAAGCATGAAAATGTTTCCATTAAAATTCTCCATCGATTCACCGTGGCAAATTTTGTTTACTGTGGCAATTTCCAAAATTGCGATCAGAAACAATTTTGCCATAGACTTTTATGGCAACAGTGGCTATGTTGGCTGCTGGCATTTCAAACCTCATTACATTCCCAAAATTTTGCGTGAGAATGACATCATTATCACGTGATCCTAATTGAAATGATGTCATTGCCGCTGAACAAGTGACATGAGCAGAAACTAGGGATGTCGCTAGATTGTGGTTTGGTCCCCGACCTGGTGACACATGATTCTGTTGTGTTTTACTATACAGAATATTTAAGCGAGGACAAGAAGTTAAAGATTGGAATAAATCATATTTCTTATGCTTGACATGGCCCAACACTCACTGGAAAATGAAGCATCTGCAGTGCCTGTGTGTTTATACCAGTAGCTAATCTGCATATTGTATAGCGTGTAACTTTTATGTAAATGGAGAACTTGTCAATAAAACAGAATTTTCATATAAGTGTTGTGTTGTGTTTACTTTGTGCAGCAGTTTTGCATTTACAGATTCTGGAATATGGCTTTATGTACAGTTTGATGTTATGTTTTATTCCACAATAGGAATAAACCTCATAAACCTGGTGAAAGTTACACTATGGTTACAATAAACTTTAACATAATATTAATTATGTGACAGGCAGTTTCCGAGGAACACAGCAGTCACATTTCAATTACATTTCAATTTGCCTCCCCTGAAGTTTTGTTGCTTAATAAATAGATTTTACCACATAGATTATGCTACTTACCTGCGGATGTTAAGAAAGTCAACTGATCATTTTCAGTCAGATCATTAACACTGGTGCCCATTTCACGTGCGACTCTGTAAAATATTCAGTCGAAGGTTACTGTATAAAAGACTTCCAGACGAAATGCATTTTGGTTGGACATAATCTGTCCTGCAAAGATACATCATAGTACCCTTCCCACTTTGTCAACTTATAAGATAAACATCTAAATTGAGATAGGTGAGACCAAGTTAGAATTCAATACAATGAAGGCTCAGTGATGAAAGCATGCTATGGGTATCCAGTTTGTTTTGGGAAGTCCCTTCTCAAATCACTATGCAATTTATTACGCTAAAGTATGAGAAAACATTCTTACAACCAAAGCGCACGGTAAGGTGCTCCCATTCTTTCTTCCTGAAATACTAATAGAATTCCAGTGAACTGAATCAAAACCATTTTATTATCAAAAGAAGCAAGGAATTGCTCATGAGAACTACTACATTCTGGAAAAATCCCTGAACTGATCAGAGACGAGAAAACCCTTGGCCCAAGAAAAACTACCTTTTTTTGTCACTGCAAAGTACATGTAAATGAGAAAGGGCGATTCTGCAAATTTTTAAAAAGTTTTTGCACTTTCCTACTTCCCCCAGAACATGCAAAAAGCTGCAAGGTAAGCCTAACCCCTCCGAAAGGAAAGTTGAAAGGCTACATGAAAAAAAAATTCCCCACTTTTGGCCCCCTAATAAACAAATCTGGCCATTCCCATATTTGGTTTAAAAGATATCAAATGTTAGAAAAAGAGAGCTGTGGCTAGACTAGTGTACAGGAGTGCTAGCTCAAACTCCACTAGAACATTCCCATGGGAAATCCAATTGACTTAAGATGCCAGTCGTTGGGGGAGGGCAGGGTTTGTAGCTGGACCAGGGGGATTCAGCATTCTTGCCAGGGCATGAATTTCATCGACTAAGCTTTTCGTTACTCCAACCATGGAGGTAGAATCACACCTCCATGCTCCAACAGAGACTCTCCACTCATTCCATCCACAAGCTGTTTGTCCTGTTTTCAACAGTTCACAACAACACACAGAAAAATACACAAGATGCACAAAGGCAAGTCCAATTTTACATTTATTTATGGCTTTATGGCACGTTTATTTTTCCAATTTTGTCAATGTATACAGAACTGAAAGAATCATAAACATTGGTGAAAATACAACTTGTGCAAGTAAAGTGACTTCTTAGAAAAATAGGTAGATGTATTTACACTGCATAAACATCAGTAAAACTAAATATTACCCCTGCAGGAACAATAATGTTCAATCCTGTTTTTTTTGGGGGGGGTTTAGAATTTGGTCATGTATGGGGAAACCTTTGGCATTGCAGAGCTTGAATTCCAACTATGTGCGGTTAACAGATGGAACTAACTTGTTGAATTCTGTTTACATTTCTACCAAACTAAACCAAAAGTTAATAGTCATTCTACGGTACCGATTGCAGGAGCTTTTTTATTTCAATTTATTTATTTAAATATAGCTGCAAGAGTGGGAAATTAGAGAGTTTTATTCATCCGTGTAGATTTCTTCCAGATTAAGCCGTTATTGTTCCTGAGCTGGTTGGGTATTTCAAGGAATGTCATTTATAACAAATCAGAGAAGACTCTGACGATCTCAAGTCAAGGGAGTGGCCCACAAATATGGACACACGGCTTGGTACATTACCTGTGTGCTGGGCCTCATTATCCCAACAGACACAGCAAGTACAATGCCAAAAGCCTGCTACGAAATTGGGGGCCTACCAAAAAAAAACTCAGGGATTATGAAAATTCATTGGGGTTCCACTGAAAATTAAACAATTGTACTTCTATACACCAGCAGAAAATATCCTTCATCTCTCCCTAAACCTTCATTTTGAGGAAGCTTCAAACGGACTCATAGCTGACCAGAATGATAGGTTCTTATACATGTTCGTACCCAAGGCGGAGATGTGAGAGCCTGCATTGCGTCTCAGGCCTACAAAGCACGTAATCCAGCCCTGCCCTATGGTAGACTTGGGAATGTGTACCATCTGATTTGGGCGCATGGGAGAACAGCTTTATTTGAGAAATGTTTTAAGCGAGAACAAATTTTGTATAGGGACTAGGAAGCCTGTAGGCTTTCCCTCCTCTCTCACATCGGTATCATAATTGCACACCTGTAATAATTCCCTAAATGACACTCCCTCTGTTCGGGTTAGAAGCATACTCCATGAGTTAAAACATGTTTTGTTTTTTTTTATTTGGGGTGTTTTTTTGTGTGTAAAGTCAGACATGTGGGGGGGAGGCCCAAAACTGCTAAAAATCAGCCAAAGCTAGATATTTAAAAAAGTTGGTCTTTAGAAATTCCTGACAATTGTCCCAAACGGGATACATTGTTTTCATTGGGAAATTGTTTTCATTGTTCTGAAAGACACCAAACCTGGGATGAGATTACAGTGTTTAGTAACAATACGGGCGATTCACAAAAGTACGCCTCCAAGAGTTTGCAATGCGTTGGCCAATCAGGATGCGGGAAATCTGTCGACTCAATGCGTGTTTGGAAGGGTCGAGACAGATTTTGCGCGTTGTGATTGCCCAATGCGTAGCAAACTCTTGGAGGCGCACTCTTGTGAACCCATGGTGGAGTAAAGAATAGAAGATTGCTGGTGCCTTATGTACACTGAACGTAATCTCTTGAAGCCTCTCAAAAACCAAGGAGACTCCAGGATACATTAATTGATATGAGGTACTTACCAGTACTCTCTGGGCTCGCCCTGTTTATGTCAGCCTGCATCTTCAGTCGAAGTTCAACTTACCTCACGTGCAATCTTCACCCCTAGCAGTACAGCCTGTGCTGCTCGCATCAGAAATTACAACCCCTCTGAACCCCCTTATGGCCTGACTAACCATTCTCCATCCGACTTCCCAACTCAGTGATGGACTGTCTGCATCCTGCAACTCCAAGCGCCCTAGGGCAGAGTCCACACCATGTACCGTAGATGTTGAAAACAATCCAACCCCATGTGACTGCGGGCATGTGAAGTTCTGCAACTTGAACCGTACTCATCAACTTTTCTGTAACCCAGAAAAACTGTTTCATTTCTTTTCTTTTCCTGAGAGCCTTCAGACAAAATACTCAAGTTCTCAAACAGGAATTGTATGGAGTTCTGTTTCAATGGAGTTTCATGACTCGCAGGAGTGAGAAAATGGTACAAAGTGGGGAACTCAAAGCAAAACCAAATCTAGTAGATGGTTTGAGCAAAATTAATAGAATGTAACTCACGACCACTCCAAGTGCAAAGTTCAATGACAGTCCAACAACATAAGGATATGATGCCTCCTGCCTGACCTTATGCAATCACATTTAAGTAGTGGGCAGTGTGAAGTTAGTCAGTTCTCTTCCCCAGTTGCATACAGAGCTGCAGCACATTGAACTGACAATGAATAGTATTTGTAAACAAGTAAACAACCCTGTAAACAAGTTGCTGAAGGATTTAAGGAGGATTTTCTGTGTCTTCAGTTTGTCAAGTTTCAGGCTTAAAATCATTAAGACGAGCACTGATGAAGATCCAAACACCACTGCAACTGGGGGATTACACGCTTCCTTGTGCATCCACACTTTTCCAAAAAAGTAGTCACGAGTCCGATTTCAAGTTTCTCACTAAAAATTCGGACGTTAGCGTTGCTTCATGTAATTTCAATCTCCATTCTGCCTTTCCTCATACCAAATCAAAATTCAGTATTTGAATATCTAATAAATAGTATGAATCACAATTCATTATCCAAACTTGCAGCCTTTCTGTATCTTACAACTGACTTGACATTTACTCCGTTTCACTTGACCCCCAAAATAATTTATACTGACAGACTGACAGCTATCTCGATTGTGTCATTTCTAAATGAAGAAAGGTGAATAGTCAGGTTTCAAATTTGACTTTTCAAACGTGCTCAACTGTTCAGATGATAAACCACATTTTGTCTTGTAATTGTCAAAATGGAACCGGAGTACTTGCTGGAAAGTATTCTGCAAGCCCCAGTGGGCCCCGAGCTGGACCAAGAGAGGGCGCAATTTCCCTAGCAACAGAGGCTCCTTTGGTAGTAACTGCACATCCTAGTTCATGGTCACATCGCTACCAACAAATTGAGCACTCAAGACCAGCATGGCTTTTTTCAACTGATGAGGGGGTGCTTTTGCTCAAGGCAGATAGAAAAGCATTCCATGAAACTCCTCAAAGCCCTGTGACATTCCACTCATAACGTACAGTGCATAATATCTCTTATACATACAGAATTTAAAATAACAGCACTTGGGAATTGTTTCATCTTCTGGTCAAACAGGTACTGTTTAACAGAACCAATGACGAGACAAGAACAGACAAATGTGTAACAGACACTGAAAGAGATGCTTGGATTGTGATCCACTTCACTTGAAAATCTCCACATATTTGCTCTCTCCAAGCATAACTTGACAGCCAGAGTACACTGGCCCATTAATTTAAAGTTGGGATGCCTTTCTCAAAGGCTCCAACCCTCGAGTTCCAGCACACATGGAAGAATTTTAAAGAATCCCAGTTGACATTTGATGCAACTGTCGACTGACATGGCCTGTTTGAATTCTAATCACTGTTACATTTCTTTTTATCCATGCAGCTAAAAAAAAAAACAAAAACAGAACACACTGGCTATCAGATAGGAACAAAAATGTAGTAGCTCATGACGAGAGAAAAAGAGTGGACGCTGTTAACTTTCCCGTCAAATGAGTACAAAAGTATCACACACTGCAGTCTCTGGACCTTTTTCAGTGACTGAGCACCACACATCATGTCTCACCTACAGATTGGAAAAAAGGACAAATAGACCAAAGGGCCTCACACTCAAAAACAGAGAAACAAAGTGCTGGACGCAAATGCCATCTATAGGTACACGCAAATGAAATCACAGTATCAGTCTTTAGCTGTCTTAACAGTACTGATAAACACTTGATACCACATCTCGGAAGTTACAGGAAGTTTTAGCTTCACATTCCCAAAGTGCAATGAAATCTTGCGTCACCAAACGTGCCAAATTTCGTAAGCCAATGCCAAAGATCCCGAATTGAAAATCTGACACAGAACTTCCTGGCATCAGAGCTTGAATTGTTTTCAAGTAGGCACTGCAGAAACACTTGGCAATGTCCGGCACCCAAAACCAATCATTTAATCAGCAGTAATCAAAACGACAGTTTGCTCCACAACGTCACCGAAGGGCATTTATTTTCCCAAACACTGTCATTCTTCAATGCAACTACACTCCAATGTTGGGCTACACAACATACATGTACCTACTTTATTTTTCCCACCATGCAAGTCACTCAATACGCACGAGCGTGTTACAAATTAAAACAATAAGAAAAACAGCCAAAACCCTTATCACATCAACTATACTGCAGGGCTCATTTGAGGAACTATACTGAAGTTCACAGTGTGTGCAAAAATTACATGAGCTCTGGATCCAAATACATGTTGCAGACAGAGGCGATAGTTGTCAAACAGGAGTAGAGTAAAGGTATACCAATGTTACTATGAATATTGATCAAGTCCCCAGGCTAGACGTAGGTATTACAAAGCTGCTATGACGGCATTCTATATTCAGGATTTCGAAATTTTAAAATTCACAGAATGACAATCTCTGACACTTGCAAAGTGAAAACCACCAACAGAGGTCAATCAACTTTGCATCTGTGTGCCGACAGCCAGCCAGCAGTGAATGTTCTTTCCCGTTTTCAAAGATTTCAACACTCAAACTGAACTAGTCAGAACTCAGTGGAACTCGCGATGCCCCTGACAAAGGCACCGAGCAGAAATCAGAGCAAACTGGAGAGTTCAATGATGTTTCAGGAATCCTTCAGGGGAAAAAACTAGACGGTGAGTCCCTCTAAACACAGTTGCAGTGACACGAATGCCAGTCTTACACAGATTTCATTTGGATGGTGTTCTTTCACTAACAGATGTAAAAGCAATCTTGCTGGGTAAACAAGCACTCTAAGACATAAAAAATTACTCCTACTTATTGTTCAACCAAACTACTATGTACAGCATTCCATGACAGACCAACACATGCTGTGTAAGCTCTCCTATCCACAAGGCATTCGTACACAGTTTTTGCGACTATCATTCTCAACGTAGCAACGGCCAAATTTTAGTCAGGCGACAGACGAAAGTCCAACCAGTTCAGATGTACATGTACAGATCTGAAGCAGGACAGAATTACAGCTAAGTCAATCACAGAGAGTTGCCAACTAAAAACACAACAATTACAATTGAGTTATCTTACAACATCCAAATCTACTAACTAAAAACGTGCTTAGCTGAACTTGGTTTTTGTATTTATATATATGCAGTGTATATACAATCTCCAAACTCCAACAATGCAAGGGTTATTCCTCAAACTTTCAGGTGATTCAGCGGCGAGCAATGACAATTCATGTAGGGATAAGTTAAAAAAAAACCAATGCTTCGGCATTGTGGATGCCACAAGAGTTGGAGAGCAGTTGAATATGGTGAACTACACACCAAGCCATACATGCCCCAATACGGTGACTTTCCATTGACCAGCATTTTAAGGTTACTAGAAAGACCTGGGAGCACCTCTCTCCTAAACATTGCAGAAACACTACCAGACTGAGACACTCCTGACAGATGTACAGTAGTGTGCTGCCATTACATAAGAATATGAACAAGCTTTTAAAGAATTATTCCTTATCATGACTTTCCACACCAACTGTTAAGATTCCGGTTCACGAGATAACAAAAAGGAACCCTCCAAATGTTCTGATGACCAAAAGGCTCAAAGCCACATTGAGTTAATATCCAATGTCAAATGGCACGGTGGTTATACACTCAAAACATTTGAAAAAAAAAAAATTCACTCGCGTCCAAACCACTCAGACAGCAGAGGAGAATTTACAGAGTGCCAATATCAGCAATTAAAAACAGTTTGTTCCTCCAAAAATCATCTGCAATCCATTTCATTTGCCCAGAAGGATTACCAAATCCACGGTTCACATTTTCAAGAACTTTTCACAGGAATTAAAATCAATCCGACCAACATTGTTTTTTTCAAACGCTAACATGGTAACAAATTCACTTCAACCACTTGCCTTGAAAATCAAAAAACCCAAAAGATGAATCTTACTGAGAGACAAAATCCTTATCGGTGCGTGCTAAGATCGTCACATACATTTTGGTCACAACTCTCTCTGTAAAGCAAGTATCATTCGACAGATCTTTTCCAAAATATTCTGCCTCTCAAGAAGAGGACGGTGTCCCCCAATCAGTAAAACGACAGCACAAAGAGACGTAGAGAAGTCATCTGCAAATAGGAAGATGATGCTAGAAAGGGCAGAACCCCCAAAAATAAATCCTGCTCCCAAACTCTGACAACATTGACAAGGAAGCCAGCCTCGACACTGACAGACAATCTAGGCATAATCTAGGCGTAATCCAGGCTGACTTCGATCTCGCGACCATCAAGACGAGATCCGTTCATCTCACCTGAAGGAAGACACAAGTCAAGGCAAACAACATCTAGCAAGGGCAAAGTTAAAAAGTTATTAAAGATGGGTGACTCCGGTTGGCGGTTTTGACAAGTACGTAACTGGCGTTGCGCAGAGTTGTAAATCAAAAGGCTGCAAGCCTTCACAGGCCAATCGTAAGTTAGCCAGTCTCAAGTCACGTCACAAGCCATTCAACAGGACTATGACAAGGGCAACCTTTTGTCACTGTTCATTACTTTGTCATCGCGACCTGACTTGTGAATAGACTTGAGACCGACTTGGGATTGTTTTGCTACTGAGAGTAAATAGCAACTGTAATATTAAGTGCACAGGGGTCCCCAAACTTCCACATTTCCACAAAACAAATCAATAAATAATCAAATAATAATGGAATGGTTATATTTTTAAAAACTTGATCATCTGCACCAGACTTCAGCAGGTGTCAAGGTCATGCAAAGAAATGGTAAGATTTACAGTCATACAGTATTCATTGAGAGGATGTTTTCATATTTTTCATCATCATAGACCTGTTTGACTTGTGGTTTATATATATAACTACTAGTGGAAAAACACAGAGTTAAGAAATAAGACTAACATGTGTAAACAAAGAAAATGGATGTTTGGCAGAAAGCAAATAATGCACAACTTTTTGGTCTTATTTCGACCTCTATATTTTCCACATCTATGTCTCAGCAGGGAACAAGTCTTAGATGACAAAGATGATGCTTTCACTAGAGACTTGGTACCAGACTTTTATTTCAAGGATACGGATTGCTTTCATGGCATCATTAGGGTTCTGAAAGCGCACTGTACCAAACCCTTTGGATCTTCCAGTCTCTGGGTGGGTCTTGACCTCTGCGAACTGGACTGGCCCTGAAGTTGGAATCAATCCACATTGGTGACTTTTATTTTCGTCGTTCCTTTTTTTCCATTTACTTAACAAAAGCTAGTGAATTGTTTGAGCTGGAGAGGGTTGCCAAGGAAAATTTCTCCAAAGGTGTTTGTTAAAACACAGTCAAATACGGGCAGTTCACAATAGTGCGCCACCAAGAGTTTGCAACGCCCTTTCCAAACACGCATTGGGTCGACAAATTTCGCGCATTGTGATTGGCCAACACGTTGCAAACTCTTGGTGGCGCACTATTGTGAAACGGCAGTATTACAAGTCCATTCCTACTAAGCCTTTTAATAGACCTCTTGCAGCTTGTACTCGGTAACATGTAGTTCCCCAACATGGCAAGGAACCACTTAAAAAAAGGTGAAGTGTAATCCCTCTGAAGTCAAAAAACTATGACTAGAATCTGCTGCCTTCACTGCCTAATTCACGTACATGAATTCGGTCAATGTTAAAAAAGTTGCAAGTGACAATCAATTTTGTAACCCAAATAATTTATATGCGACGTTTCATAAGATGCTTACTCAGTTATTTGACTGATGCTCCAGCAAGAATAGACCTTTTCTTCTCACTTTGACAGAACTGTAACAGTGGCTGATATTTAACTAAGTATTTTTAACATCAAATTACGCAAAGTTCTCACCGATCATCTTGAAGCGATCCTTCAAGTCCTGCCAGGTGTATTTAAATGGCAACTACAAATTAAAAAAACAAACAGTAGACAACATCACGATATGCACTGCAAATAATGCTACAAATACGTGGTAGGTCAGGGAATACACACCATCACCCGTGCTTGAAAGTATATGTATGTTATTAACCTCAACAATTCTAGCAAAACAATTGAACTTCAGTTTCATCCGCAATGATTTAAACACCACCAAATAACACTTTACTTGACCTGGTCTTTTAATATAAACTGGCTTTGATATGATAAACTTGAAAGCTCAAATTTCATGATGTCCTCGCCACAGAGATACAGCACGTTTTCTTCATATCAGTGCATCAAACAAGAGGATAATTTAACTTTTCACCCACACAGTAACACACTTACATTCCTGACAAACACTTGGGATCCTGAATCCCCGCCACGTCCGCGGAAGTTATCCCGATCCCTGTCCCTGTCTCGCCCACCGCCGCCACCCCTCCTGTCTCGGTCCCCCCGGTCCCGCCCCCTATCCCTGTCTCTGTCGTCCCTCATAGTGCCCATGCTGTCCCCAAAGGTGTCTTTGCCCATGCCCATGCCCATGCCGGAGCCCAGCAGGCCAAGTCCCCCGCCNCCCGCCAATCCCCGAACCCCCACCACCGCCGCCCATGTTGCCCATCAGGGACAGGTCCGAGCCCATGCCCAGGGAGCCCAGACCGCCCATGCCCAGGGAACTCTGGGATAGGTCGCCACCGCCAAAACCTGGGAAAGCAAGAAACACAAAGGATAAAAGGAAAATCAAATCTACAGAGGCAGCAGACCTGATTCGCAGGGGAAGCCATTTTAGATTGCGTTCCCTGAATCTACCTTATTTAAGGCAATCTGCTTAATGGCGTGGTATCTGACTATTTTCCATTCTAAGCTTCACATTCAGGTTTTTTGGAAAAAAAGATGAGTTTAATCACAGGGTTTTAATACTTTATGAACACAGATTGTTTGACATCTATTTCCAGGTTCCCAAAGTGAAAGTTAACTTTGCTTTCCATTTACTTGTTTATGATGTATCTCCGCATGCTTGGAGATCATTTTGTAAATGCTATCATCAACCTGAAACTTTTGCTCCCCTTGTGAAAAGGCCAAGGTGAGACTTTTTTAATTTTTAGGAAAATGGAGAAAACCTCAACATTCTCAACCCCAACAATGCTGAAAGCAAAAGAGCAAATGCAACTGAATTCTGCTGAATGGGGCGGCTATGGGATGATTTCACTCAGTTTCCATACTGGGTACTCCACATTCTTAGTTGCTGCAAAGTTTATCTCATTAGCAATTACAGAGGATTCTTTCAAGCTCAAACGTCCATCTCACCAATCTTTCATTGAAGAGCTGAGAGTCCAGATCCCTGACTCATCATTAAAGGGGATCGGATTATTTAAGAGTCAAATGAGATGCATTGGCGACTAAGCGAGCCTCCTGGCAATATTGATGAACGACCACGGCAACAGCAAACCTGGATTAGTGTATGCCTTTGACAAGGGAATCTTCCCCAGTTTTCAAAGTCTTCATACAACGAGACTGTTCAACTGTACCACTCTCAATGAAAAATTTTTCATCTTGTAAACTAAGAACTTGCCCTTGAAAGGGCTTCAACGAACCACACTCACCTCCCATGCCGCCTAAGCTGCTACCAAGACTGCTGCCCAGTCCACTGCTCAGATTTCCACCGAGTCCAGAGCTCAGGTTGCCCCCAAAGCCCCCTCCCAGTCCAGTGTTGCCACCGAGGTTACTCATCCGGTTACCGTCCAATCCTCCGCCCAGACCGCCAAAATTCCCCAAGTTGCCCAGGCCGCTGTCCATACCTGGCAGGCGACACAAATAAAATCCAATTCTACAATTGTTAAAGGGGACATCAAGTGAAACTTAGTTGAGTCCATTTTGAAACGAAAGGTTTAAACTGCCCACTTTGGGAAATCTGATCTGAACACAAACAATGCTACTAAAAAATTCACTTTCCTTTTAACCCCTTCATACCGGGAGCCGTCCACAGCCGCGGCTTTGAGGATTAGTGCATACCACACATACATTCTATTCAGCATGCAGCTGCTGGTTCAATGTGGGCCTGCTGCTGGACAGAGATTTGCATACTGGGCATACCGCAGCCCAGCAGTCACGGTCAAAAGAATCCCGGCGTGAAGGGGTTAAAGTTGCCACATTTCTTCACAGAAGCATTTCCCTTCAAAACTGCAGATTTTTACTCTGCTTTGACTCCTTCAAGATTACACACCAAGGAGAAGTTCAGTGCACTGGTACCTTTGAGCATAGTTTGTCAGTTACCCTTCAACATATTTTAAGGCATGCTACACTTCTCATACAATTTCAATATTCAGTTAAAATGACGTCACGCTTTGACTCTTAATAAACAGGATTCTGTCAGTGAGAAATGATGGGCATGAGAATTGGAAATATCGAAGTACTCACCTCCCATATTACCCATGTTGCCCATCCCCATGTTGCCCATTCCACCACCCCCACCTAGACCCCCACCCAGTCCGCCACCCATTCCGCCACCCAGTCCGCCCCTGGATCCCCCTCCCAATCCGCTTCCCATGCCACTGGCCAGCGACTCCAGGCTAGGGCCCAGACGGGACAAGCCACCTGTAAGAACGAGACAAAAGGGAACAATAAATTAAAACCGTCTGATGGGGGAAAGCACTCGTCATCGGGTGAACTAACAAAGAATAAAGAGTTGAAGGGGGTCGTTTCTGAGGCACTTTCATGCAAATTGGCAAGTTTCATCCCATCTCCTCTTTTTGTTTTTAACTTTTGCACGTGGGGAGGGGGGAATCCCATCCTCCAACAATACCCTTTAACTCATGTCATCATCAGCCACTTACTTGGCAGTGGCAGCTGTTTCGGCGGCCTGTCTCGATCTCTCTTGGCCTGGTCCTAAATACAATCAAATGAAAGCAACCAGAATTAACTAATCAGTTTGACTGAATTCCCACAAACAAAAATGGAGACGGACATTGAGTCAGAAATCAAGCGACTCAAAAATGGAACTAACTGAGATTGAACCCTCCCCACTGACTGGATGAATACAAAAGGTTTCACAAAACCGCAACGGGCCATGGGTAG